CCACCAAAACTAAGGGATTTGGGAATTTAAATAAATTTCTGATTATAAGCTATTACTTGGGAAAAACAACCTCAAAAGTGATTCCCATTGAACTAACCCAGAATGACAAGTAAGACTTTAGAAGATACTTGAATTTTAGAACCTCCTGGTACTAAGTAACAATAGCCAGCAACCCATATACCCAACTTAAGAATGGGGCATCAAGAAGTTGCTACACACACACACACACACACACACACACACACACACACACATACAATGGAATACTATGCAGCTCTAGGAAAGAAAAAAATAATGTGCAACTTACTATGTAATATGTATTGTCATATGTATAACTTAATGATACAGCTAAAGGTAGCAACAAAAGACAAAATTCAACAAAATTGGAGAACTGATCCACAGAACTAGTGTCAGAAGTGGAATTGAACATGGTTTAAAATTTTTGTAAAAATGCTAAATTATACAAATCATTGCATAATGATTAGAAAGTAATGTTGACAGCTTTTTTAAAACTTTTTTGAAGTATTGTGATTCACAATAGTAAATTACATATATATATACATATATGTTAATGATGGTTTCATGTGTGCATAGCTCCAATACCATACCCACCATCAATGTACCCAGCTTTCTCCTTTAAGGTCCCCAATGCTCTTCTCTTTCAAATCTGTTAAGCTTCCTTCCACTTAATGGTAGGGGTTTTTCTTTAAATTGCTTGCTCTGTTTTACTCTCAGAGTCCTCACAATTGTTTCATTAGTCTTCCAGACACTATAAAGAGAAACATAAACTTGAAATAGAGCCATTCACAAAGAAAAACATCTTAAATACAACCACATAAATGGGTATTTCCAATAATATTTTCAGTGTTTTGTCAATGCATAATTATGTCTAAGACACATAGTAAGAAAATAAAAAGCAACAGAGACTGTGAATCATCTACAAAAGTGAGATACCATGCTGGGGAGATAAAGGTGTCAGGGAAGTTGAGGAAGGAAAACTGAAACAGTAGTAGAGTGAGAAGAAAACTATGGATGTTGTTAGAACATTGTATCATGGACACTGTCATTTACAGTATTTTAAATCATGACTAAATTAATTTTTTAAAGTAAAGAGCTATATTTTACAAGGATTTAAATTTTACTGAGGTTTATAGGTAGGATCATATTAACTAGTTATTAAATTAAATTTTGATGCCTAAAAATTAGGAATATGTTCCAATATTCCTGGTCTAACTCTTAGTTCTGGCAATGCTTTCACTCTCATTTTTAAAATCTAGTGAATTGGGCAGTTTCTTAGAATTGAAGCTTTCTTTCAACCATTTGAATTCATTTTTATTCACATCCTGATCAATAGTGATACTATCTGCAGATAAGGAATAAAAGTATCATCTGTACTTGTAAAAGTATCATCATACTGCTCAGACTAATTATTCAGATTCAATTCTTTCCAGTAATTATCTTCTTTACGAATACCTAAAATGTTTCCAAATTTTCACAACCAGGTTTTATCTTTTTTTTCTTTCTCTTTAACTAAGAGTTCAGTAAATGGTGTGTAATACCATTGGATATCTAAATAATATCTCCTTATAAAATTATTCTTGATTTACTCAATAAATCTGAGTATAACAAATATGTGCTTTATGCTTCCTAACCATACCTTTATTTTTTCCCCAGAAAAAATTTAAAATTTGTATTTTAGCCAACCTGATATTAAAGGATAAGTAATTTTTTTGGTGAACAGAGACCTTAATAAAACTACCTAGTTCACACAAAGTTAGGAGTATTTCCCAAAGTAAGTCTAATTTTGAAAAGAACAAAGATAACCAGAAAAAGGAAGCAACAAGCATTTGATGCAGAAGAGATAGGGGGTGGACTGCCTGCTGCGGAGTTTAATTATGATTTGAAATTAGATTAAGAGTCATTCAACAATAAATCTGAAATTATTAAATGATATATTTTGTAATATTATATTATTCCCTCATGAAAAGACACCCTTGGGGCTGCTCACATACAAAATCTGTTTAATCAGTCCCCAAGAACATTTATGAGTTTTCACTAAAGTCACAGTGATCTACAAAGCTAATTTTTTTCAGTACTATAGCATAAATAGACATCAACTAAAATAAACATCAATGAAAATAACACACTATGACCTTTTCTTGTTGCTTTTTCGGTCACATTCAGTGATGCACAGGGGTCACTCCTGGCTCTGTACTCAGGAATTACTTCTGGTGATGCTTGGGGGACCATATGGAATGCTGAAAATCGAACCTGGGTAGGACACATGCAAGGCAAACACCCTATCCTCTGTGCTATCACTACAGCCCCAGTGACTTATTTTTAATTTGATTTATCTTTGGTTTACAATATTGTAAATTACAATAATATACACCTCTGTATGTATATAATTCTCACCACACCTGCCACAATTTTAATGTCACACCATCGCCATAAATATCCCTCTACTCATTTCCTCATTCTTTTTCTCTTCCCTCTGAAATTCACCATAATTTCACATTCTATGAATAAGTTTTGATTTATTTTGACAGTTTTGATTATAACTTACTTGAGTCACACACATAATTCTCTTTCATACTTTCACATACTTAATTTAATATTGGTACCTCAACTTCCATCCACTTTCCCCCGTACACAGAGCGCTGAGTATGTCAAGTTTCATCTGCAGATGATATTTAGGTCGATTCTATGTGTTGGTTATTGTGAGTAAAGTCCTATTAACATAGGCGTAAAAATATTGTGAATTTGTGTTTTTATAGTCTTTGGATAAATGACCTAAATTTGTGCTACTAGAACTTATGGAATTTTACTTGAAAGACATCTTTACTTTAGAAGTTTAACTTTTACTGATGCTGAAAATTATCAAGCAGGAAGCATATCAGAAAAGCTAAAATTGCAATGGTGGGTCAAATCCTAGTTCTTAATGTTTGTATTAGTGATAACATCATTTTATGGTACACTTTCTCCTTTTTCTTAACTTAGATACAGGAAATCGTCGAGGAAAGAAATTGTTAAGTAGCTAAACTTTGTAGTTATTTATATTTGCTGTGCAAGGTATTTTCTCACTAATTTCAAGCAGCTTTAATTATCAATACTGAGGGAATTGTAGCTTAATAGAAAATAGTATTTATCATCTCCCAGAGTCGACAGTCTGCCCATTAAATGTACTCAACACCTGAAACACATAGTTTTTCTCTAATTTCTTGATACTCAAATATCACATATTATGAAAAATATTTTTTAAAAGTGAAGATGTAGTTGAAGACGCTGAATGTCTTGATATTTCTTTGCACATCCCTAATGTTCCTGAAGTAACCTTCAATATCACTATGAGGACATTATTCTTTCTGTGTCAAGCCATCATATATATCAGATAGACTTTCCCTGGTGATCATGAAAGCAAATCCTCAGGGAAATTGAGGTAAAATGGAGGCATGGTAGTTAGGTGAAGATGTTATGCTCTTAGTGATAAAATAATTTTTTATAACTAGCTATTAAAAAATGAAACAAGGGCAATGCCAAGAATCCATAAACTTAGGTCAATTTTTTTTCAGTTGATAGTGAAACTCAAAATAATTTAATTGCCAATAATGATTCCTCTTTTAGTCAATTCCTTTGCCCCAAAAGACATTGTATATGTATCTCTAGATTTTCAAGTTTATTTGATATCTTCTTTTAAATGGTTATTTTCACCCTTAGTTTTGAAGAAACTTGAATGTGATAACTAATTTTTAAATAAAATAAAATATTTCATTTAAACATTGGAGTTTACAAAACTGTTCATAACAGAGTTGTTATGGGCTTTTAATGTTTCAACACCAATCCCGGCACTAGAGTGACTTTCTCCCCACCTCTGTCTCCCAGCCACCCCCAAGCCTTAGTAGGCACATAATAATTTATTTTATATTGCTTGACACAATTAAATAAATGGTTAATAGAATTATCAAAAATACTTTAGTAAAAGAAAATTTGTGAAAATTGTTACATCTCACCATGGGGTTGTTAAGTCCTTGTCTGAGGATTTACTAAATTGTTTGTTGCTAGTTGAGGCTTCTATGCTATTGTTTTTGTTTGTAAGTTTAGTTTGCTTCTACGTTGCTTTCCCATCCAATTTGATATACTTCTACTGGAATTTCAGTATTGTAGAATTTGGTGGTGTTACATGTCTGTGTGGTTCAGACTTCTGGATTTATGGCCTAGGTCAATGAGTTGGCATGGTTGCTGAGGTTTACACAAGTTTGGTTGGTGAAGGGTGGAGGAGTGCCCCTATTCCAAGAAGACCCCAGAATTCTCAGCCCGCACACTGGAGTACCTGAAATTTTTTGAGGTTTGCTGTCTCTGTGAAATTATTAGTGAAGTGGTGGAGTTTACCCATTGGTTTGGGGTGTGAGAGCAGCTGGACTTTGGCAGGACAGAGATTAGGCTGACTTCCTCCTGAGGGTGCCCCAGACTTTTCAACAATGATTGGTTTGTCCACGAACATTAGCTGCTTAGCTTGCATCTCTTTGGAGATTCATTCATAAATCTGCACAATAGGGCCAATGGCTGTGAATTGTGATAACTACTTAAAATTTAATCGTACCTAATTTCTAAGTATGTATATTTTCTTATAACATTAAGAACAGTATACATGAATTTCAGAATTTAGTAATTTCAGTAATGACTTTTGTCAAAGAGATTTTAAAGTAGGGCCTGAGGGATAGTACAGGGGTTAAGGCACTTGCCTTGTACATTTAATTCCTGCATGGCATACCTTGAGTACCACCAGCAATAATCCCTAAGCATAGCCAGAAGCAAGCCTGAAACACAGCCAGGTATGGCACCCAAACAAACAAAAGCAAATGAACGAAAAGGAAAACTTACAGCTTGAGAATAATGTGGCTAAAGCCAACATATCTTAATTATAATGATTCATGTTATACTTTTTAGTGCTTCATTGTTAATGATCAGGTGAGAGTTGATCTGTTTTACTTTTCTTTCAGCGGTTTATCTCTGCAAGAGAACAATGCAAAACAAGGCACGTCTGGAGTTAGCAGACTATGAAGCTGTAAGTAACAATAACTTGTAGGCAAAGAATATCATAAAATAAATAGGAGAAAGGTCCGTAGCTGTTAATGGGGAATCTATTAAACTTTTATTATTAATGGAGCACAGAGATGAAATTTTCTGGCATCAGGCAGAAAAAGACAGTAAATGTCTACTATTTGCTTTCTATCATAATTCACATTAAGAATGTTGGAATTCTAAATGTACAATTTATATTAGAGAGAGGATTATTGTTTGTTATAATTGACTTGAATGTAAAATCTTTAGATATATAGAATGTATCTTGAAGGTATCTAAATTAAGAGAATTAAAAAGCACTTGCAAATAAAAGTTTTTTGGAAAAAACACATATTGGTATCAATCATATGATAAATGATTTTTTTTTTTGGTTATTCCTGGCTCCATTCAGGAATCAGTCCTGGCGGTTCTCAGAGAACCATAAGAGATGCTGGGATCAATCCCAGGTCATACTCATGCAAGACAAACGTCCACTGGCTCCCATCAGATAAAAGTTATTAGATGCAATTTAATCAGATAATTGCCATGTTGTTATATACTGAAAATGAAGAAATAGAAATAGGCTGCCACAAGTTACATATTTGTTAGGAGCTAAGACGGACTGAATCAGTATTAGGAATGCACTGCTTAACTAGTACTCCAATTAGGATTTTATGTTTAGGAGTCTAGGTTTCCTTTACAAATATATAAGGGAGACAAATTTACAAGGGCACAGTGAAAATGAATACCAAGGTATCCTTATCTGTCATATATTTTTTCAGGAAAGCCTCGCAAGGTTACAGAGAGCATTTGCCCGGAAATGGGAGTTCATTTTTATGCAAGCAGAAGCACAAGCAAAGTGAGTCCTTGTGAGTCTTTTGGAAGATTTGTTCAAGTTGTGACCTTTCGTCCAGAGTGAACAATACAATTAGCACTTATTAATTATTGTTTCTATGCTGGCAGAGTGGACAAGAAAAGGGACAAAATTGAAAGGAAGATCCTTGATAGCCAAGAGAGAGCATTTTGGGATGTACACAGACCTGTGGTAAGCAAACAGATGAACACGATCTCAAATTCATAATCTAGTCCTTTAGAAAGTGAAAACTCTGAAAATAATTAGAGGAAAATGTATGTCTCATTTCTTTTCCTAAAGATTTGATAAATTACTTAAGAAACACAACATGTGTATAGATGCCCAGAGTGTAGTAGCATGGTACATAACTTACAAAACAAGGCATTTTCTACTATGATATTGTTTACTTAATCTTGGCATTTGAGGTATTTGATACTTGCATGTGTGTGGGATTGGGGTGGTGAACTACAGTGAGCAACTTTGGCTCAGTATGTATATTTTTCTGGATTTTGAAAAATAGTGAAATTGTTTCCTTTCTACATTTTATTTTTTTAAACCTATTAATATCCTGCTATGAGTGATAAATTTTGTGCACTAACATGATAGTCAGATCAGATTCAAATAGGCTATACTTTTGATATTATAATTGATCACTGAATCTACATATAATAAAACTGATCTTCTTATATCATAATTTTAACTGTATTACTTAGAGTAACAAATAATGAATGGTCTTGATTATTACCAGAATAGTTTGTGTAAAATATTAATCATGAAAAATCATATATAATTTCCTATATTTCTATTTTGATATTCTGCTTTTATCTTCAACATATTTTTAAATTCAAAGAACTAGAAAATAATATGTACAAAAATATTGTTATATAAAAAGATTTCAGAGATAAGACAAATCAAAATTGAGGAAAATAACTCAAAATGCTCATCTCAACTACTATTCTTAAAGGAGTAAAACACAAAGATTCTAAAGTTTTGTTTATATACACATGTATTTCAATTTACACAACTATGTAATTGTTGCACAGCAGAGCCTGGCAAGCTCCCCATAGCATATTCGATATACTAAAAACAGTAACAAAAACAAAAACAGGTCTCATTCTTCTGACCCTGAAGAGACTCCAATACGGCAGCATAGGGAAGGATGAGTAAGAAGAGGCTGCTAAAATCTCAGGGCTGGGATGAATGGAGACATTACTGGAGCCCACTCTAATAAATTGATGAACAACAGGATGACAGTGATAGAGTAATACAGTGTTTGTAATTGTTAAATAAATTGTCTATAGAATTTATCCACCTTTCAAACCTGGAGATTAGAATTGAGACTCAACTGGTTTTACTATTTAAATTCATCTTAAATTAGTTTCATAGTGAATAAAAGATAGATTATAGAAGGGTTACAGGGGTCATAGACACTAGTGAATCTGTCTGGGCCTGGGCTTTTGTTTTTGGGAAGACTTTTGATTACCGCTTCAATTTCCTTGATATGAATGGATCTATCCAGGTATCCCAAGTCTTCCTGGTTCAATCTTGGGACATTATAGGAATCCAGGAACTTATCCATTTCTTCTAGGTTCTTTTGTTTCATGGCATACAGACTCTCAAAGTAGTCTGTGATGATCTTTTGAATTTCATTGGTTTCTGTTGTGATGTCCCCTTTTTCATTTCTGATTTGGTTTATTAGGGCTCTCTCTCTCTCTCTCTCTCTCTCTCTCTCTCTCTCTCTCTCTCTCTCTCTCTCTCTTTGTGAGTCTTGCTAGTGGTTTATGGATCTTATTTATTTTCTCAAAGAACCAGCTCTTGGTTTCATTGACTTTTGGATTGTTTTTTGTTTTCCATGTTGTTAATTTCTGCTCTAAGTTTTATTATTTCTTTCCCTCAGCCAATGTTGGGTTCATCTTGTTGGTCTTTTTCTAAGATCTTGAGCTGTGTGTTTAGGTTATCTACGTAGGCCCTTTCTTCTTTCCTTAGAAATGCTTGCAATGCTATAAATTTTCCTCTTATCACAGTTTTAGCTGCATCCCATAGGTTCTGGTAGCTCGTGTCTTCATTCTCATTTGTTTTCAGGTATCTTTTGATTGCGTCCTTGACTTTGTTCCTGACCCACTTATTGTTCAACATTGAGTTGTTTAATTTCCAGGAGTTTGATTTGCTTTTCGATGTCTTTGTGTTATTCGCTTCTATCTTGAGTGCATCGTGGTCAGAAAAGATTGTTTATACTACTTCTATCTTTCTGATTCTATTGAGGTATGTTTTGTGGCCTAGCACATGGTCTATTTTGGAAAATATTCTATGTGTACTGGAGAAGAATGTGTATTCTTTCTTTTTGGAATGTAAAGCCCTGTATAGGGTCTATTAGCCCTCTTTCTTCTATTTCTTCCTTCAAAGCCAATGTTTCCTTGTTGAGTTTTGTTCTTATTGATGTATCCAGAGGTGACAAGGCAATGTAGACGTCTCCAACTACTATTGTGTTGCTAATGTCCTTCTTAAAATCTGTAAGCAATTGTTTTAAGTATTTAGCTGTTCCCTCATTAGGTGCATATACATTTAAGATTGTAATTTCTTCCTGTTGTACATATCCCTTGATAAATATAAAATGGCCTTTGTGTAAACTCACACAAATTGGGGGCGCGGCACCCACACGGCGGCGGCTCTATCTCTCCCGCCACCCGCGTTCGGTAGTCTCACCCTTCTACCACCCCGGAGAGGTCGATGGCGATGGTCAGGCGGGGGAAGGAACGAGGGCCAGGCTGGTTGGTATTAGTCGTAGTTTATTCTGATTCTTTCCTCTTCTCCCCTTGTCTCTCTATCTCTCTCTCTGCTCCCATCTCTCTCTGTTTCTCCTCGTCTCTCCTGTCTCTGCTCCCATGCTACTTCATTCTCCTTCCCCATCCCCCTTCATCCTCCTCTTCCTTCTGATCCTCTCTGAACTTCTGCTTCTTCCTTCTGCCCCTCTCTGAACTCTCTTCTTCCTTCTCCTTCTTCTGCCCCAGCCCACTCCTACAGTACAGTTAAAATCTCTCTCCATGAGGAATTGGGGGAACAATTACACATAGGTGTGGTCACAATCAATAGGGGTGGAGATGAACAGGGGTAGAAATCTTAGCCTCAGGGAAGACCGCTCCTAGGACAGATCCTTCCTTAGCAGGAGGACCCACCCTAGAGCAGAATTCCATGGGCGTGCCTCTCCTCTCCTTGACCGACAAACGTACAAGAATATAATATAAATCATTTTGTATGGATACAGTAAGAAATATCTTAAACTTATAGAATTGCTCTCCTAGGGCCATCTCGATCTCAGACTACGGTGCTCAGGCCAGATAGTCTTTCCCACCCTTAGCAGGATCCTAGTCTTGTCGTTACCTTGGATCATGACAGCATTTGTCCATGATCAAATTCTTAACTTATAGTCAAGAATCGTGGCACTTTGGCCTGGCCCATTTCGCTGCCAGGGTAGCTCACCGCTTGCCCTGGGTCCATTCAGTCCCTCGTCGGGACCCTGCTTTTGGGGTGTTAGGAACTGTGGGCAACTGAGGCTTAAGTCGAGAAAGCAGATGCCCAGGAGTGAATAATATTCAAGGCCAATCAAATCCTAAATTACAAAGCATAATGTTAACGGTCTTTCTGTATCTATACAAAAAGGATATTACTTTAAGGTAAACTATTCATAAGGCATAAGGAGAGGAAAAGGGCAATATTTCACTCATACATATAAAATCATAGATTTCTGGGAAACTGATCTTACAAACTAACAAAGTCTGATTAAGGGGAAAGCTGATTAACTGGGTGGGAGAGCATAGGGAAGATTGTTTACAGATAAACACAATGGAAGTGGAAGTGCTTCAGGAGCACTGAGGTGGGTGTAACCAGATAAAACCTAAGCTTCTTGAAGGACAAAGCAATGTTACCCAACAGGCCTTCTCTGTCCCTTTTAATCTCTTTCAACCTGAACACCAGGACTAAGTGGGATTCATCCCAGGAATGCAAGGATGGTTTAACATTCAGAAATCAATCAACATTATCCATCATATCAACAAAAGTAAAAATGAAAACCATATGATGATATCAAAAGATGCATAAAAAGCTTTTGACAAGATCCAGCACCCGTTTATGATGAAAACTCTCAACAAAATGGATTTTGAAGGAATTTTCCTCAAGATAGTCAAAGCTATCTACGAGAAAACCATGGCAAGGCCCAATGGGGAAAAACTAAGAGCCTTTCCTCTAAGATCAGGGACAAGAGAAGGATGCCCACTATCATCATTCTGTTTAACATAGTGCTGGATGTACTTGCAATAGCATTTAGGCAAGAAAAAGACATTAAAGGCATCCAGATAGGAAAGGAAGAAATCAAGCTCTCACTATTCGCAGATCATATGATACTATATCTCGAGAATCCTAAGTCCTCTTTCAAGAAACTCCTAGAATCAATAGACTTGTACAGTAAAGCCGCAGCCTATAAAATCAGTGCCCAAAAATCTGTGGCCTTCCTATATGCAAATAATGAGAGAGAGGAAAGTGACATGAAAAAAATAACCTCATTCACAATTGTGCCCCAGAAAATCAAATACCTCGGAATCAGCCTAACTAAAGAGGTAAAGGACCTCTACAATGAAAACTACAAAATGCTACTCCATGAAATTAAAGAGGACACAAGGAAATAGAAACATATCCCCTGCTCATGGATAGGAAGAATTAACATCGTCAAAATGGCAATACTCCTGGAAGCATTATACAGATTCAAAATGATCCCTATAAGGATATCCATGAAATTCTTCGAAGAAATAGATCAAGCACTCCTGAAATTCATATGAAACAACAAATACCCACGAATAGCGAAAGCAATTCTTGGGAAAAAGACGTGGGGAGGCAACACCCTCCCCAATCTCAAGCACTACTACAAAGCCGTAATAATAAAGCATGGTACTGGAACAAAGGCAGGGCCGCAGACCAATGGAACAGGGTGGAATATCTTATACACAAATTCAAATGTATGAACATCTAATCTTTGATAAGGGTGCAAGAAATGTGAAGTGGAGAAAGGAAAGCCTCTTTAACAAATAGTGCTGGCATAACTGGACAACCACATGCAAAAAAAATGGGCTTAGACCTCGGCTTAACACCATGCACAATAGACAGATCAAATTGGTTTAAAGATATCAACATCGGGCCAAAAT